AAGGATTCTTAGCTGAGCTTTCAGAGGAAGCATGGCTCTATTGATACCTTATTTTCAGACTTCTAGTCTCTAGAACTATGAGAGAATACATTTCTCTTGTTTTAAGTCCCCTCGTTTGTAGTTGTTAAGATAGTTCTAAGGTGCTAATACACTTGGCAAAGTAAGTCACATCATCACACCCAAGCTCAAGGGTACAGGAAGAGACAGTGCAGCTGTGCTGGGTACTCCCCTCAGGTCAGTTCTCCTCTGCTCTGAGCCTGGGAAGCTAAGCTTTGAGAATTGTATGAACAGCCTCATTTCCCTCTAGGTTTCTGGTTGAGACTGACCCACAGCAGGAGTTCAGAGGTAGGAGGAGGAGAGTCAAGTTGGAGTACTTACTTTGCCATCCTTCCTCTCCTCAAGGCTGGTAGTAGGAACCCTTTTGGTTCCTCCACCAAAGCTGTCCTGCCTGCCAGCCCTCCTCCTGTCTTTCCTTTCTCTCAGGGTTCTGGTAACCACTTCTTCCAGACCAGACACCTGGGGTGTGGAGGAGGGGAGAACAGCTGTTGTTAGCTAACGGCACTTGGCCATTCCTTACTGGTTTCCCTTAACCCTGCCTACACCCTGGTAAACAGTCCCTTTATTAATCTCCTCTAACTCTATTTGAGCATGCCATCTGTTTTCTCTGAGACCCATTGGTTACACATCTCTGTGCCTAGGAGGAGAGCTGGAAATCTGGCGGACACGTTGGTGACACCCTCACTAAATTGAGAAGCAGCACTAGTGGACCAGTAGTGGGAACTGCAGTGAGAATGACAGATCACACATCAGCTTTGCTTCCTATACTTCTTGTCTCCAGAAGAAGGAGCATGAGCTCTGAAGCAAGATTCAAACTCTAGTCCACCATTTCTGCAGGTGATGTAAACCTCTCTGAACCTCATACACAGTGGGTATGAACAATGCTTTTTCCCTTATTGGGCTGTTACGAAGATTAAGGGAATAAATATGAAAAGAACCTCAAAGAACCTCACTGTGGCACACAGAATAATGCCTCCCAAAGATTGTCAAGCCCTAATTCCTGCAAACCTGTGAATATGTTGCTTTCCATGGCAAAAGAGAGTTTGCAGATGTGATTAAGGCTACAGGCCTTAAAATAGGGAGATTATCCTGGATTACCCAAGGGGCCCAATCTAATCACTTGAGCACTTAAAAGTAGGAGAGGAGAGGAAGGCAGAAGAGTCCGTCACACAAATGTGGCAGAAGAAGGGGAGGCAGAAGAGACATGACTACGTAAGAAGGATTTAACATACCACTGCTGGCTCTGAGATGTTCAGAGACCACATGCAACGAAAAACACAATGACCCGAAAAGAGGCCTCTAGATGCTAAGCAGCACCCCTAACCCCCAGGCAGCAGCCGGCAAGAAAATGGGGACCTCAGACACTGAATTCTGGCAACCCACCTGAATAAGCCTGGAAATGGATTCTCCCCTAGCACCTCCAGAAGGGAAAGCAGCAAGCTTCTGAGACCAGAAGCAAAGAAACCAGCTGAGTCCAGTGGACTTCTGACCTACAGAACTGTAAGATAATAAATGGGTGTTGCCCTAAGCCCCTAAATCTCTGGAAATTTGTTCTGGCAGCAATAGAAAATAAATACACTAGTACAGTGAGGTCTTGGTGCATAGTGTGTGCCCACTACATGTGTGTTATCTGCACTCACAGAGGAGCCAAGATACAGAGGGGCCTTCCCAGGACCCTAAACATTATGTGCTCTCAAAGATGTAAGCCTGCTGTGATTCTGCAATCTAACCTTGAAGCTGGCTTTCTCTAGTGCTTTCCAGCTGTCTTGAGTGTGGGCCCCCTACATGAGGAGCCTCCAGCTGCAGGAGGACGAGGAGGTGAGGCAGGAAATGCTGTGCTTCCCCCAACTTAGGCAAAACAAACCTGTGCACACCTGACATCCAGAAGGAAACTCACCCTAGAGCTGACTGTCATGTCTCTGGTAGGATATTCCTTACCTGGAACCCTCAAGTCCTGCTGTCCTCCTACCTGGAGGCAGTTTCTAATATCTGCTTCTAATTGAAGCACAGTCTAGGCAGGTCATTTCCTGCTGCTAAAGTCTTCCTTCTGTTTCCCTGCACCAACCAACTCCATCTCTCCAACCACATGGCAGTATCTTCCAGCTGCCTACCCAACCAAACCTAGTCCTTAACCAGAGAGCACAGACCCTCCTTGCTATAACTGCTTTATTTGATGACTGAAGCTCCTATGCTTTAATAACTAGGTCAAGTTGAAATAACACCCTAGGACACTGGGCCCTGAGCCAGGTGTCGGAGATGTGGGCCACTCAGCATTCAGTCACTAACAAAGTGTGCAGAAAAGCAAGAGGATTAAGGGCTACCCACTGGGTACAGACATGTGCCTCTAGCTTGAATCAAACTGTAGAAATTTTGCCAAGTCCCAGTACTTCTTTAAGGCTCCAGACCAGCAACCGGTGATTGTTTTAATAATAATTTTCACTGCCATTCTAGGAAAACCACCTCACTATAAGGAGATTGTAATAATAAGAGCTAATATTGGGTGCTTAGCATATACCGGGCTCTGTCCCACGTAACTATAAAAGTGTTAACTTACACTCTCAAGGCAGTTTGAAGAGTTAACGTCTATTATTATCATCTAGCTTTACAGATGAGGAAACCAGGACTCAGAGTTAAACAACTTGTCGAAGGTCACCTAGTAGTATATGGCTAGAGCCGTAACTCAAACCTAGGCTAAAGTTTTCTGTATACTACTTCCAGCACGGTTTTCTCTTGATTGAGCCAACATACATAGAGCCTTTAGGTCTTGACCAGGCATTGTGCCAGCCCATGGAGATGCAAATATACCTGGGGAAAAAATTCGTTTTCTCCTAGCCGACATGATAGGAGACAGATATGCAGAAAGAAATATGTATTGACACATTAGTAACGTGACCAAAGTATAATGGAAGAAGTAATTAGACTGCCCACGTGGTGGAGATTTCTAGGAAAGAAGAAAAGTAGGATTGAGAAAGGCTTTTTGGAGGAGATAAAAAGAGGAGAAGGGACACAGACATAAATGAGAGACAGAGAGAGAAGTATCACATATAAGTGTGGGCAAAATGCTCATTATCCCTCTTTCCCTTGGTTTCCTCATTGCTAAAATGGAGATCATAATACCCATTTCCAAGCTGTTACAAAGATTCATTTAGATGATAAATCTAATGTGAATTACCTCTGCTTGAAACACTCTAAAATATATTACTCCCTTGCCTTTCACCACTGCCCCCCAACAACCCACCAAAAAAAAAAAAAAAAAAAAAACCCCTTCTATAAAGATCAGATGAGTTCAAAATCCAAATAAAAAGGCTTGGGGGCATTAAGAGGGAAACATAAATGTAAGGTGGTTAAATACTGGATGAAGGAGCCCAAGGTTATCTAAGAGAGACTTGGGTTCTCTCTCGTGGAATAGGCCTCCTCCTGCTCCATCGAAACACATTCCCAAGAGTGGAGATGGTCACGCAGGTGACCCGTCTTTCACGGACTTAAATCTACTGCGTTTTCTGCACAGAGCTACATTAAGCACACAGCCTCAGCAGCTCCCGGGATGAAATGGAGCATCCCTCAATCTCTACCTCTGAAGATTGGGGACAGTCCTTCCCAGTCACTCTTCAGCTTTAGGGGGGTCGGTTGGTCTCAGGGACAGCTGACAGCCTTATTTAGCCAACCAGCTGCTCTGTGATACACGATGTCCTGAATGCTCAAAGTCTGGTGGATGATTCTTTTGTATCCATATAAGCAGCAGTTGGAGGAGAGTCCATCAGTCCCTTTGGTAGCCTCAGGGTGTCAAGGCTGCCATTCAAATCATTACCACCATAATTATTAACCATTGTTTTAGTGAGATATCTGCTAGGCAATTGTCTTTCTTTCTTTCTTTTCCTCATCATTAAAAAACAATCACACTTCCCTGGAACAACGCTTGCCTCAAGTCACATCGACACATTTATTAAGCCCCTTCTGTTTTCCCAGTTCTACCGGAAGTCGTGGAGGAGGGAATGCTTACAATATTCTGTGATTTGAAAGAATTGAGGATTCTTTCAAACCTGAAGAAGAGGTTCACACACACACACACACACACACACACACACACAAAATCTATAGGAAAAAGTCACACAAGTATACAATAGACCGCTACAGAGTCAGAGAGGGGCAATTTTATTTTCTGGTGTTTTTTTTTTTTTTTTTTTTTTTTACTGTGCGGATGGGGTGCAATGAAGGAGTCCCACGGATTGAGAGGATCTGGAGGAGTGGGATGTTGGGGTGGGAAACTGCATTCTTCTCCGTCAGGTACGGCCTAGGGAGCCGACAGGGAGGCGCTCCCATTAGAGTAGCCGCCGGAGCCTGACTTTGTGACAAGAGAGTTCATCACTTCGGGTGGAGTGTTCGAGGCAGAGCGTCTGCTCCGGGATGGACGATGCGTCCTGCGTGACTCGGTGAGACGGCCGAAGTCCCCGTCCCCCTTTGGAACCCACCTTGCAAGCACGCAGCGCCCCGACAGCGGTCAGGGCTGCGCGGGTCGGCGGGTCACTCACCGGGCTCCAGGGGGTCCTGGGCGGGAAGTCTCGGGCGTCGCGTCCGACCCCGCCTGCCTGCCTGCCCGGGGCCGGCGGGGGCCACACCTAGAGGCGCTCGCCCCCGCGGCCGCGCGGTCTGAGGCACCGGAGCCAGGAGGAAGCCGCTGCCGACGAGGCGGGAGGGCGCGCCCGGAGCCCGCCCCCGCGGCGCACGCCGGGCCCACCGGGCAGAGCGCCCCGAGCCCGCGGGCCCCCCGCCGCGGCCTCCCGGAGCGCCGGGCAGCGTCGCGACGCCCCCACGCGGCGTGAGCCGAGGGGGAGGGGCGGGGGCACCGCGGGGGCGCGGCGCGCGGGCGGACGCGGGGCCGGGAGGGGAGCGGGGAGCGGGGAGCGGCCCCTGGCGGCGCTCCTGAAGCGTGAGGGGGGCGGGCCTGAGGCGGGGAGAACCGCGGAGGGGCGCGGGGGGCACACTCAGGCTCCGGGGGCCGCGGGGTCGCGGGGCGTGGGCGAGGGCGTGGGCTCCAGGCCTCGTCGGAGCGGACTGGAGTGGGGACCGGAGCCCCGCGGAGCAGGAGCGCGTCGCGTCAACAATCCCGGCGGCGGGGGCGGGGGCGGGGGCGGCGGCGGGGGCGGGGGCGAGTGCGCGTGCGCGGCGCGCACGGCGGGAGAGGCAGGGAGGGAGGGAGGGAGGGAGGGGAGCGGGCGTGGGGCGGCGGGAGCGCGCGTGCGCGCGCGCGGCCAAGCAGCCTGGGCGGCGGGACCTGCTCGTGACGGACGGCGGCGTCCGGTCCAGCCCGTGGCGGTGGTGGCGGCGGCCGGTCCTGCCTCTCCCAGCTGCCGCGGCTGCTCCAGACACCTGCGGCGGCGCCGGCGGCGACCCCGCGGCGGCCGCGGAGATGTGGCCCCTGGCGGCGCTGCTGCTGCTGCTGGGCTCGGCGTGCTGCGGTGAGTGGCCCCTGTCCCCCGGCGCGGCGGCCCCGCGGCTGTGCGGGCTGCGCCCCGGCGGCGCTCGGAGCGCGGGCTGCGCGGGCTGCGCGGGCCCTGCGCGCCCCGGCTGCGAGCGTGGGAGGCGGCGGGCCCGGGCTCCCGGGCTCCCGGGCTCCCCGGCTCCCCTCCTCCCCTCCTGCCCTCCTGCCCTCCGCCCCTCCGCCCCTCCGCCCCTCCGCGGGGCTTCGGCGGCCCGGGGCTGGCAGCCGGGATGCCCGCCCTCCGCGCCCTGCACCGCCCGGGCTCGCCCCGAGGAAGCCGCCGCCGAGCCCCGCGCCCCGCGCCCCGCGCCCCGCGCCCCGCGCCCCGCTGGACTGTTCGCGGAGAGGGCGCGATGGCAGGCGAGGGGCGGCCACCGGGAGCGGCGAGGGCCCCCCTCCTCGCGCCCCTCTTCTTCCTCGGTGCGTGAGCGTGTTTGGGGGCGCAGGAGGGAGAGGGGGAGGGCCCGGGCCTCCTGCGATACAAGTGCGCATTTTGGCGAAGTCTGCGAGACGGGATTTCTCCCGCTTGCCCTCCCACAGCAGCGGAGCACTTAAAGGAGACCTAAAGGAGCAATGAAGTTGCATCTCCAGCCCAGCGTGTAGGCAGAAGAATCTTCTGGCCGCCTTTTTATTTATTTTATTTTATTTTTTTTATTTCTTTTTATTTTTTTTAAAAAACCCTAGAAATAAGCTACCTGGAAAGCTCTCGCTACCCCCACGCCCTATCAGCCACTTATTACAGTTCAAATCGTACGTTCAAGTTTTTCCGCTTTATTTGGCTGAGCCATTTTAATAGCAATCCGGATCTCGCTGGAAATATGAAGACTCGAACCTCCAGTCAAAACACATTTGCAGCAGAGTGGGCTTTGGTGCTTTGGTGTCTTTCAACGCCAAAGGCGTTTGCTTCCCCCCCCCCCTCCTCGCCCCCCCCCCCAGGCTTTTGGAATCCATTATGCTTTAAAAAAAACAAAAACAAAAACAAAACGTGTGATTCGTCTGTAAAAAGTGAGGAATGGGAATCTTCGTGGTCCTGCGGTGCCTGTCCCACTTTACATCCCTATAGTCTTCTGTGAACTTGTAAGATCCAGTATTGAGTTTGAGTAACAGTGAAATACAGTTGTTACATTTAATTCTAGAATGCTAAGTTAATTACGTTTTAGACTGATTATTAGCCTCGCTGTGCCATTTGTAAACGCTCGTGATTTCAAGCCATTTCAGTTATTCCTTTAGGTCCTCGCTTGCCACTTGCTCCAATCTCTGAAACATCCTGGGTTGTTGGAGCTGTTGATGACATCCTTATTATCTGAAGTGTTGATAATTAGATAAGGTGGTATTTGTCATCAGCATTAATGGCTTATTGCCTTTACCACCATTACTATGGCGAAAATAGTACTCTCGGAAACCTGTTATATGATCAGAAAGCCTTCATATTGAACCAGATTACACATTTTAATAAAGTATCACTCAGACCACTGGCAACAAAAGCTAAAGAATAAAAAAATGTAAATAATTTACTATTTTAAAAAGCAGTGGTCCTGTTTTCAAGCAGATGGGAAAGAATTGCTATAATAGTACTTTGGGGAATAGGATTTCTGCTAGGCCTTATTTAATAATAGTTAAGTCATATAATTAGCACTCATTTACATGCAATATTAATGTGCTCAAGCCCCTACAGAGTCACAGAATTCGCAATTTATAGTATTTTATTGTACTTAGTTAATAGTAACCTGAAAAAAGGTATTATACGTTTGACTTCTGTTAAAGTGTCGAATATAAAAGAGGAAGTGATAGTGTTTGTCATAAGCTACAATAGGTTTCGTGTCTGTTTAATACATAGTTTTAAAAGCACATGTATGAAGATATAATAGTCTCAGAACACCAGTCATTATCGACCGGCGTATTTGAGACTGAATTTAGAATTCAAAATGAGTAATAAAGTCACAGATTTGTACATTTATTTGTACTGAAGTTTGATTTTGCTTTCAGTTTCATTTATAGATGATTGATAAAGTCATTTTTTGCCTTTGCCACTCAGTTTCAGTTGACCTGTGTGGTAAAAGAAACTACCTGATATGCTCCTTCCCTCTACTTAAAGGCAAACTGCAACTCCCCTATTGGTTTATAAGACACAGAATGAATTACTATGCTCCTTTCCTCCCCCCTCCCCTGCAAATCCAATTGTACTTTGTTTAAAAGCACATCAGCAGTTCCAGTGGTTTTTAGTAACTGGCAAACAAAACTTGACTCAAATAATGACGGTGACATGGACGGTCTTTTTAGTGGTTGAATGATTTTTCCTTGTTCACAATGAGTTTTTAAAATCAAGGGTATACATGATTAAAAAACAGTTTTATTGTCTAAGTTGAGTAGTAATTTGTCTTGCTTAAACGAAAATGTTTTCTTTTAAAGAATATTACTTTTAAACACAAGTTGCCATTTTAAGGAAGTAAATGCCTATTTAAAAGTATTTATTAATGGGGCCACCTCAGCAGTCTAGAAGCAGTGTGTTAAAGCATTACACTAAATGCCTGCCATTAGGACACTTGCTCATGCTGTCATCTGTATTTTGGCAGATGTTTTATCTTTGCCACTGAGTTGTTAATGGAGATTTGAAAGGCCAGGTTCTAAAGAAGAAAAATAGGTGTTTTTTTTTCCCCCAAGTGTGATAAATATTCTAAGTTCACAATAATTACTCATGTTATTAAAACCAAGTTTACATTTCTTAATGTTAATTTACCTATAGCTGTAAAAGCATTGTTTTTAAAACTTTAATGTCCTTTTTGTGATACAGTTTTCATATGACTATTTTAGCCACCTTTTAGGTTTTTGCTGTTAGTTTTTTATACAAGATAAAAATCTGTGTATTTTGATATTCGTGTTTCAGCCTAATATAATGCAGTCTTGAGTTGTCATAAGGTAGCTTTTACTTTGTGTCCTAGTGCAGATAGTTCTTCCATGTTAGAAGAACAAGAATAATAGTGTAGGATGAATTTTTTAAACTCATTGTAGTGCTAAAGCAAAAAATACATTAAACCCAAGAAATTTGATCCTGATATACCTAAACTAAAGCAGTATAGAACCTAGATATTTTCCTTCTTCATAGTTACGTGGAGTTGAAACAGAAACTATAAATTACACTCTCCTCTGAATATTACATTCATTATCTATGGGACAGTTATATAAGACTCAGAATCTGGTCAACCCCAGTGTTTGAAATTCACATTAAGAGAATAAATGTGCATATTTGAATACATGTCACACTTAATGGGTTAAAGGCAAGGCATTTGGCAAGTGCAGGGTCTGTCAAAACTACTTTTTCCATTGCAATCGTGTATAAGCCCATGCCATGTTCTAAGTACTTTGCAAGGCCCTCTTGGGTAAAACATACATTTTCAGACTGTATGCCTCTCAATAACTTAAAATGTAGTTTATAAAGAGTGGCGATCTTTGTTTTAATCTCTTGATGACATTCAGTATGTTTTAAGTGCTCAATAAGCCCATGATTCTGGATGTTACTGACTTGAAACTGCTCTCTCCCCTGTAATTCCAGGTTTATCACTTCTGTTCTAAAAAGGCCACTTTAAATCTAGTGGGGGATTACTTTGAGTGAGAACTAAACACCTTATGGACATGCCTACCTTACCCCAGACCTTATTTTGTCTCTATTGAGGAGAGATCTGTCTAAATCCTCCTTTTTGACCCTAATTCTAACCCGATCTGGTTTGAGACTCTAGTTCTTCATACCAGGGGCTTGATCTGATGGCCAGACTGGTAGGATTCACTTTCAGCAGGTATCTTTACTCACCAGCTTTGTTTCCTTTACCTTAGTAACTGTTGGGCTCCTTCCCCATTCCTGAACATCCATTTCAAGCAGATAATTAACTTCCTACTCTATTGCAAAAAATAGTGATGTGTGGTGTGGACTCTCTCAGCTTCCCTCCCACCATTACTAAACTTATCTACAATATCTTAAGCAACCATCTCATTCTCCTCCCTCTCCCAGTTTCAGAAGTATACCTATTAACCTTTCCAAGGAAGGGTTCATCTGTCTACAGCTCTTTCACTTCCACCATTTTGGACACCTGTCCAATCAGTTTAATTCTTCTTCAGCCTTTCACCTTAGATCTTTCCCTCTCCAGTGGCTCCTTCACTCTAGCTTGCACACATGTTCAGGTTTTACCCCAAATTACAAATAAACAAGAAGAACCAAAAAAAAAAAAAAAAACCTTGCCCTAGTCCCTGTCTCTACACTCTACACTTTTTCTATTGTCTTTTCTCTATGCTTTTTTACGCTGCAAAGTGTATTGAAGGAGAATGCTTCTTCATTCTTCCTTCCCATTTATTCCCAAATGCAGTGTGACTTTTGATCCTGCTAGTCTATTGACATTGTAGATAAAAAAAGCTAATGATAAAGTTTTCAATCTACAGGCCGTTTTTACTAATACCATTTAACATGTGTTCAGTCCACATGAAGACTCTCTTTTTTATGTCCACAGTGGTGCTTTTTTGCATCTCTCACTTTTTTTCACTTCCTTGATTTATTCTTCTTTAATGATTTTTCTATAAATATTGGTGTTCCTCAATGTTTTATTCTCTGATTCCTGCTCTGCTTGCTTTGCAGGGACTCTCTGGGCAATCTTGTTTATGTTCACAATTTCACTTACCAGCTATGATCTTAGTGATTCCCAAGTCTTCGTAGCTCTGACCTTTCTTCTTAAATCCAGATCCATATGTCCTGGGATCTACTGGGCATCTTCATTTCATTGTACCACAGGTATTTTGATAGTCAGCCTATTAAATATTGAAAGAATATTCCCCTGTAAATCCCCAAAATCTCTTCTCTATAAAATCCACAATCTAACTAGTTACACATACTTTTAGTAAACAATTTTAATTCATTCCTTCTCTTCTCCCTTATTTCCCACATCCAACTTACGTTGATATTGTAATTTTTACTGTAATGTTTCGGCCATCTCT